TCATTAGAGGCTCGGGAGCCACGCGCATTAGACTGTTGGGGATTTTGATTTTGGAAGTTGTTCCTGTTACCATTGTTATTCCAATTTCCCCTGTTATTGGCATTCATGTTCTGATTGTATTGCCCTTGATTACCTGCATTTTGTTGGTAATTATTCTGATTACCAAAATTACCATGTTGATTATAAGACCCTTGGGGATTTTGGTCCCTTTGGTTCCTGTTTCCCCACTGGTTTTGCTGTTGGTAGTCAGAATTATTACCCTGTTGATTATAATTGTTCCCTCTTTGATTAGGTGGTAAATATCTGTTATTGTCATTCCTAGGTCTATTATCATAAGACAAGGCATTGACTTGTTCATTATCACACTCATTACCATCATTATAGTTGGATTGAAATTGGGAATCTACGTTACAGGCAGAGGTATCATGGTCATAAGACCCACAGTTTTCACGGAATATACATCCAGCAGGCATATTATTAGAGTTAGAGTGCATACCTGCTCCCTTAGAATAGGATGGAAGATTTTGATGCGGTGGAGCGTTGAGCTTCTCTTTGATAATTGACATTTCCTTACCTAGATTTACAATTTGCGATGTCAAATTCCCGATTGCATTAAGATGGTCCACCGAATAGACCGCTCCTCCACTCTTGCTCATGGCCTCTCGCTCTCCATCTTGCCAATCCATGTGGTGTCGTACCACATCTTCTATGATATCAATGACTTCTTCTTCGGTTTTGTTCATAATGGGGCCACCTGCTCCCGCATCCAAACTGGTCTTCCCTTGAGGACTCAATCCTCCATAGAAAATCTGTAAAACTTGATATGTTGGGATTTCGTGGTGTGGGCACTCTCTTTGATACTCCTTGTACCTTTCCCATGCTTCGTAGATTGACTCCCCACTCCTTTGCCGAAATCCCTGGATCAAAGCTCTAGCATCGGCCGTCTTCTTTTGGGAATAAAATCTTCCCAAGAATGTTGTCGTGACATCATCCCAAGTGTGTAGAGAGTTCGGCTTCACCTCCTTCTCTAACCATTCGAGAGCTCTCCCAATAAGTGAAAAGGGGAAAAGCTTCAATCTCACGAACTCTTGATTCACCCCATTAACCTTGATGGTATTGCAGTACTTCTCAAATTCGTTCAAATGAGCCAAAGGGCTCTCATGCTTGGCACCACTAAACTGCCTTCTCTCGATGAGGGTGATCATAGCCGGCCGGATCTCGAAATCATTGGCCTCAGTAGTGGGTGGAGCAATCCCACTTGAAGCTCTATACGCCCAAGGAGTTCCCAACTCCTTAAGGGGTCGTGGTGCTGGCCGATTGGGTTGGCGCGGTATGTCTGCCATTGGAACCTGTTGTGTGTTGTGTTCCTTTCCTTGAGAGTTTGATGACGTCAATCGAGATTTACGATTGCTCTTCAAAGTTCTTTCGATTTCTGGATCGAAGGGTATTAATTCTCTCTATTTAGACCTGCGCATACACACTAACCAAACCAATTAAATAGCAGGGCTACAAGTGTAGCCAAAAGGGAAATATCTTTTTGTGTTTTTTTATGATGAACTAGACTCAAGAAATCAAAAAGCAATTAACAAACACCGTTCCCCGGCAACGGCGCCATTTTGACAAGGGTTAAATCGGTCGCTACAATCTAACTCTCAATCAAACAATACTTATACGAACACCCTATAACCAAGTACAATGGCAAATAAAGGTTCGGTCCACGAGGAACGAGAGTAATTGCAAATCAATCTTAAACCTAAGCTAGTTCGAAATCAATGGAAAATGGTGTTCTAAAATACTACTAATAAGATGGAATAAATCAATAAACTAAGACACTAGGGAGAACGGGAATCCGCCTAACCATTGGTAACTAAGCAACAAGGAATCACAGAGACAAACGGGATATGCAAAGACTATAAGTCTGATCAATATCATGTGATAGGAAGACAACGGGCAATACTAAGCTTGGATTTCTCATGCACTTAACATTACTCGATACATAATCAAACCACATTCAATAATGAAATACTCAATTCACAATCTCTTGTTCAAATCAAGAATATTATGCAATCAAATTCAAGATTCTAGGTTAGCTACTCCTATTATAATGAATTAACATGCAATCGCATATAATCAATTTAATCACAATCCGTTTATCAAAATCAATCCTCAATTACATAGATTACCTAGGCCGGGTTTCATCCCGAAACCCTAACTAGGAGACTACTCACACATATTCATAATCAAAGCAATAATGAATTCCAAAAGCATAATAGATATAAACATGAATTTTGATTAAGGAATAATAAAGCTTGATTAATAAACAAGAATGAATAATACCAATTGTATTGATGCGAATCAATGGAAAAGTTCAGAACTTTGATATCCGTCGTTAATGAATAATACAAAGAATCTTCGCAAATCTTGCTTCAAATCAATCCAAGAAAACTAAAATCTCTAGAAATATCTCTAAGAAAACTAATGAATCTCTAATACTAAGAACGTTCTCCAATAACTCTCTACAAAGGCTCTCAAAACTCTCTCTAAAACTGTCTGAGGAATCCTCTTAAAGTTGGGCCTTATATACGTCTTCTAATGCGGAGAAGTCAAGCGCGCAGTTAACCCTGGATCAGCACGGCCGTGCTGTATTTGGCACGGCCGTGCTAGCTTGTCAGTAAGTAAACCGGATTTCTTCTTCAAATTGGCACGGCCGTGCTATATATGGCACGGCCGTGCTAAAAATGACACGGTCGTGCTGAATATGCTCTAGCACGGGGCTCATACTGAAGCTGACACGGGCACGGGCAACATCTGGCACGGCCGTGCTAATGGCCTGCACGGCCGTGCGGGTGCGTGGATACTGACACGGCCGTGCTACTGGCTTGCACGGTCGTGCTGCCTTGCCTTGGGTTGCTTGCTTATACGCCAGCACGGGTGTGCCTATGGTAACACGGCCGTGCTGCCTGTGCTATGTAATCAATGCACGGCACTTGAACTTCCTTAACTCCTCGGACTCCGGTCAAGGCTAGCTCGGTTACGCATCAAGGGCTCGGGATCCGATTAAACTCGGTTGATATTACCTGAAAACACATCAAAAACAAACCGAAAACCCGTGAAGCACGTAATATGGGGAACGTAAGCATAACAAGGTAATAATCGGCCAAAGCGGCCCCAAATACATCCAAAATCATCCTAAAATATGCTCTAAAGCGCGCCCTAAAGTGCGCTTGTCAGGGGGGCCTTCTTCAATGCCGAAAGAGCCTCGGTTAGTCGAGAGTATAAGGAAATTAGGTAGTGAGAAACATTCCAAATTCTTCTGATGTTCGAAACCAAGGGGAAGAGGTACGGCATAATACTGTTCGACTTTCAGCAGAACATGTCGCCGGAAAAAGACAAATACAAGCTAGTGTGTTAATCACGCATGTTGAGGAAAACGTTCTGTTTATTATGAAAGAGCATCTGAAAGATGTCAATTACGCTGAAGAACACGACGAAGAGTCTTGGCAGGTAGATGGGTCGTCATCTGTTAATCTTATGGAGGTATATATACAAGAATGTGAAGCACCGTAAGTCTCTATGTTTATCTGCTTTATGTGATAGATTATATGTTATGTATATGTAATTTTATTTTTTTTAATTATAGATACAATTCCAAAAAGCGTAGGAAGAGTGGTACTACAGGTAATGATGTCTAATATATTGCAATACAATTATTTACATGTTTCGTGACTAATTAACGCCCAATTTGTACAAATTTCAAAGTCTACTTTCATCTGTATAATGGTTGCAAAATCTTAATAAAATGAGTGGCGTAATATAAATGGTTTTTTTAAAAAAAAATTACAAATATTAAATGGCTAAATCTTTTGTAAGATGTGGTTTTGAATGGGAATAATTATGTTAAGAGTACAGACAGATTAGAAGAAGGAAATTTGTGAAGAAGAAGATAGTGATATTTCCAATGGCGGTAATTCTGAGTACCTAATTTAATACTTTTCCCAAAAATTGTTTTTTTACAATATTTTATCATTTTTATGTATCTCTGATTATTAATTATCTTTGTGCATTTCATGTCTAATATTATGTATAACACATTCATTGTTTTAGTATGTCGTTGTTAATATAAATTGTTATGAATTATTAGATAATGTCGGGATTTCTTCACAAAATACATAAGACATATGATATATGATATTTATAATATGCTTATTTTTTTGGGGGGAGGGGGTGGGGGTATCGGTAGTTATACCTCCTACTACGATTAGTCAATCTCTACTAGTAGGACCTCTTGTGCTTCTAAGTGTACCATGTTGTTTACATTGTAATGCAAAGAAATTCATGTATGAAACTCCAAGCTTTTGTTGTTACGATGGACAAGTTGTTATTGCAGTTAATGAATTTCCTACTGAGTTATGTCGCTTATATGTATCACAAGATGAAGATGCTAAACATTTCAAACAATATAGCCGAATGTATAACAACCACTTTGCTTTTAGTTTTATACGTGGAAAAACAGAGTCAACAACATATAAAGGGATATATGTAGTCAAAATGCATGGGAAAATATATCACTGTGTTCCAGACCTTCTACCTGATGATGGTAGTCCTAAATATCTGCAGCTGTATTTTTATGATGGCCAGCAAGAAGTCCAGAATCGAGTAAATTGTTTTTCTGAAGTACGGGAAGATATTATTCGTATATTAATGAAGATTATTGAGATCAATCCTTATGCAAGATTTTTCAGATCGTTGAGGGAAATAGAGATTGATGAAAACAAGCAGATAGTCTTATCTCAGAGTACTGTTTTGGATCAACGGGTTTACAATGCACCTGTCTCAGATGAAGTTGATGTAGTGTGGCCAGATGGTGCGTCTTCAAGTCAAATAAGCACTCCACATATTCTTGTGTATGGAAAGTCCGCTCAAACTCATCGTATTTGTCACTATTATGGGTGCTATGATCCACTATAATATCCACTGTTATTCCCCCATGGTGAATGTGGATGGACTCAAAATTTAAGAAACAGGTTGGTGCTGGGAAAAAGCATACAAATCAGGTTCCAGATCCTATAAATTCTTGCGTAGTTCATACCGTGCAAAATTTTTTGGATGAAGCAGAATCACGTAAGTGTTTGTTATATACGTATATTATATTTTATTTTAAAACATTTATTGTGATGTACATTTTTAGTAGTTTCTTTTTTCTTCTGCAAAATGTAGGTGTTGTTAAACACAGAACAAGAGTTGATAAATATATTTCTCCAAGAGGATACTATGCCTACAAATTACAGATTAGGCCCAAAAACATGCTCCTAAGAGGTGGACAATGTTTTCAGCAGTTTGTTGTTGACATGTATGTCAAGAAAGAAAATTCAAGGCTTGATTATCTATGAAACAATCAATATATAATTAGAGCTAATCTTTATCAAGGTATTCTTGATATTGTGTCAGGTGAAGAGACAGATGCTTCGAAGGTTGGACATCTTGTTGTTTTGTCTCCATCGCTCATTGGGTGTCCTAGAGATCTTAAACGTCGATATCTAAATGCAATGGCATTAGTTCAGAGGTATGGAAAGCCGAATTTGTTTATTACCATGACATGCAATGCAAATTGGCCGAAAATACAGTGTGAACTACAACCTGGAGAGAAAGCACAAGATAGGTCAGATATAGTGGCTCGGATATTCCGTGCTAAATTATTGGCGTTAAAAAAAAAGATTAAGAAAGAAAAACTCTTCGGTGAAGTGGCAGCAATGATCGATGTTGTTGAGTTCCAAAAGAGAGGATTACCACATGCACATTTTTTAATAATACTAAAACGTGACTTCAAAATAAGAGGGCCAACAGAGTATGATAAATTTGTTTGTGCTGAAATCCCGTCATTTGATAATCCTCATCTTCGTAAAGTTTTCTTGACTCATATGATGCACGGGCTTTGCGGCAAGCTGAATCCAAAATGTCCTTGCATGAAAATGGATGGGAGAAATTTAGTCTTTAAAAATGGATATCCAAAAGACTATAATTCAGAAACAGCAAACAACAAAGATGGATATCCTATATATAGCAGAAGATAAATAGGTGAAAAGGTGAAAATCGGACGAGCTGAGCTAGATAACCAATGGGTAGTACCTTACAATCCATATTTACTACTCATGTTTGACTATCATATAAATGTTGAGGTATGCTCAACTATCAAAGTAGTAAAATAATTGTACAAATACATTTACAAAGGGCACGATCGAATATCATTCAAGATATCTGCCACAAATGATAATAAAGTTGATGAAATTGAACAATTTCAATCTAGCAGGTTGGTATTTATTATTTAGTTTGCATTATTAGATTTTGTTTCGTATAATTTCAATTATTTCATTGGAACTGAGTGATTATAAATTGTTAGGTGAGTATCCCCATGTGAAGGAGTATGGAGAATATTTGGGTTTGATATGTATGAAATCTATCCTCCTGTTATGCCGTTGTATGTACATCTTCCAAATATGCAATCCATTGTTGTAGGACACATGAAAATCTCAAACGAGTAGTGAGAGATCCTAAGCGTTTACGTACACCATTGACAGAATAGTTTGCAATGAATTTGACAATTAATGTTGGCACCAATCTTTTATATGGTGAATTTCCAGAGCACTACAGATGGGATGCAAGTACAAAGGAATGGAAAGGCAGGAAAAATACACTAACTGTTGTTGGGAGGATATTGTTTGTCTTACCTGCTGAAGGTGAATGTTATTTTCTAAGACTTTTACTGCTTAATATACGAAATTCAACATCTTTTTCAGACTTATGTACAGTTGATAATTATGTATGTGCTACATTTCAAGAAACTGCTAAATGACTTGGTCTTTTAGAAGACGATGATGCTGCATCAATTTGCCTGGCTGAAGCTGCAGAGGTACAGTTACCAGGTGCTTTTAGACGACTATTTACAACAGTTCTGATATTTTGTCAACCGAGCGATCCATCTGCTTTATGGGGAAAATATTACACATCGTTGTTAGAAGACTTCAGGTATCAATTCAAGGATTGTACCGGAAAAATAAAACAGCTTACTGTCAGTTTGTTAGAACAACACCTTGAATCAATGGGTAAATCACTGAAAACTTTTGGGCTAGATCATCTAAGTTATAATGTCAGTGATGAGTTTAGAAAAACGAGAGATATAGCAGATGCTTTAAATACAGCTATTCCTGAAGAATTCATTAATTCAAAAGAACGTTTGAATGCAGCTCAATTGAAAGCATTTAATTGCATAATGAAACACGTCAATGAGGGAAAAGGAGGTGCTTTTTTATTGATGGACCAGGTGGCACGAGCAAGACATTTTTATACAATTGTTTATATGTAGAAATTCGAATGATGAATAAAATTGTGTTGCCAACCGCATCATCTGGAATAGCAGCATCAAATATCCCTTCAAGCAGAACAATCATTCAAGATTTAAATACCAGTTGATCATGAGAGCTGTTTTACATGTGATGTGCCAAAACAAGGTAGTTTAGCACATTTAATAAAAGAGACAGCTTTGATTATCTGGGATGAGGCTTCTATAGCCAACAAGGCGAATTTATAGGCCCTTGATTTGCTGTTACAAGATATTTATGAAAATACAACACTTTTTGGTGGTAAGCTTATCATTTTTGGCGGAGATTTTAGACAGGTTCTACCAATTGTACCTCAAAAGTCCTTAAGACAAGCTGTTGAATCAAGCATTGTCGCTTCATATATCTGGCCATCTCTGAAAAGATTTAAATTAACAGAAAATCAGCGAGCTCGTGCCTGCATTTTGTTCGTTTTTGTTATCTTATGGCAAAAGTGAATTACAAACAAATGAGTGTGGTTATGTGCAACTGCCTGATGGAATGATTCGACATTTGGATATGGAAAAGGATCCCATTTTGGAGATTATAAAAGCAACATTTCCAGAAGTTGAGAAAGAAACAAGTACATCAGATATCTTTGCAGATAGGGAAATTTTAACTCCGATGAATGACGATGCGGATATGGTGAATTCAGTTTTGATTGACCAGTTTCCAGGAGAAAAAGTAGTTTATAAAAGTTTTGATGTAATGCTCAATGATACATGCAGTATCTATCCGATGGAGTTTATAAATAAACTTTGCCTAGGGGGGATGAGTCCCCATGAGCTTGTCCTTAAAAAGGATTGTCCAGTGATTTTGTTACGCAATATAATGCCTTCTGAAGGGCTCTGTAATGGTACGAGATTGATTTGTAAGACTTTTATGCCCAACATTATTGTCTGTGAAATTTCTGTTGGACAATGCAAAGGTAAAACTGATTTTGTGCATCGAGCAACTTTACGCCCTGCAGCAAATAGCAGGTATCCATTTACTTTTGAAAGGAAACAATTTCCAATTAAATTATGTTTTGCCATGACGATTAATAAATCACAAGGGTAGACGTTGAATCAAGTTTCGATATATCTTCCTCGGTCGTGTTTTTCACATGGTCAATTGTATGTGGCTTTATCTCTGGCTAAAAAGGCTGAAAATGTTGTTATGTATACTATGAAACCACCTGAAGGGTATCACATAAACTCAATTAGAAATGTAGTATCTTTTGATATTTTGAAGTATTCGCAAATAATTTAGCATTAAACATTTAATTTGTTTTTTAGTGTTATTGATACAATGTTTTTTGTTCTAATTCCTTATATAAATAATGTACCATTATAATAAGAGATTACACTATACATTGTATTATTGCATATGCTTTTGATCATCACAACAAAGTTGTATTATATTTAAAACATTATTGCTTTTAAGTTTGAGAGCATACCTTTTAATAATTTCGGATTTATTTAGCAAATATATATTATTATTGATATACATTATGATTTCAAAATTTTTTAGGTTCAACATAATTGGGCATGGTAAAAGTTATTTAAAACCAACAATCTGAAATCCCAATGCCATGTCAATGACATTTGATCCCAATGCCGTGTTTAGGCGTAAAGAGAAATATTTATTTTGGCAAAATTGGTTTAGCCTATATTTGGTTTAGTCTATGTTTTTTACACTTTGTTAAGAACTTCTCTAAATATGAGAAGTCACTTACACTAACAACCGAATACCAATATGTGCGCAATGTTTGCCAACCAACTCTGTATCATATGTTTCTTGCACTCTGTCAAGCACTTTTTTCCAAAACCTTTCCCTTAAAAACATTTTGGGTTTAACCTAATTTGGCATGGCACATACACTAACAAAAGAATACCAAAGTGTGCACAATGTTTGCCAGCCAACTCTGTATCATATGTTTCTTGCACTCTGTCGAATACTTTTCTTCTGTCACTTTTCCCTTCAAAACGTTTTAGGTTTAACGTAATTTGGCATGGTATTAGAAATTTGAAATCAAAGACCTTTAATTCCAATGTCGTATCAATGAAATTTGATCCCAATGTTTATATATGCACAATGTTTGCCATTGAACTCAGTATCATATTTACTTTGGCGATTTTAATTTAGCCTATATTTGATTTAGTCTATGTTTCTTGCACTTTGTCAAGCGCTTTTCTAAATATGATAAGTCACGTATACTTACGAAAAAATTTAAAAATGTGTATAATGTTTGCTAACTAACTTTGTATAATTTTTTTCTTACACTTTGTGAAGCAATTTCCTTCCGACAACTTTCCCTTTGAAGCGCATAGCGTTTAACATAATTTGTCATGGTAAAAGACATTTGAAATTAAAGATCTTTAATCCCAATGTCGTATCAACGACATTTGATCCTAATGACTATATATGCACAATGTTTACCAACCAACTCAGTATTTGCACTTTGTTAAGCACTTTTATTGTGTCACTTTTCCCTTCAAAACATTTTAGTTCAATATAATTAGGCGTGGTAAAGGAAATTTGAAACCAATGACCTTTAATTCCAATGTTAGGTCAATGACATTTGATCCCAGTGCCGTGTCTAGGCATAAGGCCATATATTTACTTTGGCAAATTTGTTTTCGCCTATATTTGATTAAGCTTATGTTTTTTGCATTTTGTCAAGCACTTTTATTCTGACACCTTTCCCTTCAAAACGTTTTAGGTTTAACATAAATAGGCATGGCAAAAGACATTTTACACCAAAGACCTTTAATCACAGTGCCTTGTCAATGACATCTGATTCCAAAGCCTAAATATGCACAATGTTTCCCAATGCCGTGTCAATGACATTTGATCCCAATGTCGTTTCTATGCATGAGGCCGCATATTTAATTTGGCAAATTTGGTTTACCCTATATTTGATTTAGCCTATGTTAGTTGCAGTTTGTCAATCACTTTTCTTCTGATACCTTTTCTTTTAAAACGTATTTTGTTCAATATAATTAAGCCTGGTAAAAGACATTTGAAACCAAAGACTTTTGATTCTAATGCCATGTTAAAAACATCTGAACAAAACAACTACAAACAAACTCTGTGTTATATGTTTTTTGTACTCTATTACACATTTTTTTTCCGATTCATTGTTCTTTAATATTAACAACCAAAATATAATTTTCCTGATTACGAAATACCACAAATGATTGCAATTTGAAATTGATGGACTTTGGGTAATTTAAACGGTTACAACCGTTATAATGAGAGTAATAAAGGAGTTGAGAAGTTTAGAGGGTAGTCATTTTTAGGAAATTGTGTTTAATAATAGTTTAGTGGGAATCCTGGCGATTTGTTAACTATTAAAGTTCCGGAATTTAGAAGCCCGTAATTAAACACTTCCTCCGCAATTCACTAATCACTTTTTCGGAAACACAACACTAGAAATCGCGAATTTCCTTCCCAAAATTGAATTTCCATCCCAAATTCCTGTTAATCCAAGGTTTACTTCTAAATCCTAGACTCTGACGTACAAGACCGGCGAATTCCGAGCTAGGTACAGGTAATTACTGCTGAAATTCTTTCGAATTTGTTTAAATTTCTGTAATTTCCATTTCGGTTCGATTTTCCTTCGAAATTATGGTTAAAGACCGGGATTTGGGCAAAAGGCCCGTCGCTGCTGAAGGAGAAGAAGCTGAGAGGCCACAAGTTCTTCCTCCAGGTCATCGGCGTAAACAGCCGCTTGGCCAGATGCCACCTCTTAGCCACACCGCTACGGTTCCCAGTACAGAGGTAAGGGAACCTACAAGAGATTCTCCAATATCGGCTGTACCATTGGGGTCAGCTAGACCATTCGCCTCTATGACGTTCAGGGAGTGGGAAGAGCCTACTTCGTCTGCAAGTGGTGATGTGCATGGGCCTCGGTGTCTGCCAGAAGGTACCGAAGAGTGGTATAACCCTACTGAAAATTCGAGACTTGCGACTACTGCTCCGTACAAATGGTGGATTGCAGAGAATGCCCGCCATCGCTTTGCCGAGCAAATCGAAATTTTTACGCGATTTATGAACAGGATGGGTACTGGTGCCGAATGCTAGTTTTAGAAGATAGAATCCACAGACCGCCGCCTGGGTATGTTGGAGTTTACATCAGGAAAATACAGTCAGGGCTGAGATTTCCTCTTCATCCCTTCGTGACGGAAGTGTTGAATGGATACAACATTGCGTCGTCCCAGCTAACCCCGGTCAGCATCCGGCGGGTAATGACAATTTTATGGGTTGCCCTCTTTTATGGGTTTAACACTAGCATACACGTATTTCGACAATTACATAATTTGGTGCCGAACAAACAGTCTTCCGAACCTCATGGCCCTGGATGGTGGCGCATTGAAGCAAAACGAACTATTTTGACCTCTTGGCCGAATGACACCTCGGATAAAGATTGGAGGGGTCAATGGATTTGGGTGAGGGATCCGTCTGAAGAAGAGCATGTTAACTATTTTGGAGGGTCGAGACATTTGAGGATGCCTGATCCAAAAATGTCTGATATCGATCTTGATGAATTTTCGGCCGAAGATAATGAGCTGCTGAAACTCTTTGCAAAAGTGGCTACGGGAAGACGGGCGCGAGAAAAAATACAGTCCGGCCACTTGGCTCCCTTGCTATCACTAAATCTTCCAAGAGAAGATATTAGCTGTCGTCGGCCTCAGCCGAAAGTACTAAGATGGTAAGAATCTCGGTTTGGGCCGAAGGCTCGTTCTTGTTTTTTTGCGTAATTGTTGAAATTGTTGTTGTTTGTTTCGTTATTTTTTTTTTGACTTCTTGCGTTTTGGATTTTCAGTGCTGCATGAGACGAGCTGCAGAAGAGAAATCCTCAAATCACTCCTCCTTCCGATAGAGCCCCTGCGCTACGCGTGTCTCAGCTAGACATAGTCATTTCAACTGAATACTCCAAGCAAAAGCCTTGGTACTTGAAACGTGACCCATTTTTTCTTTTGGGTCCTGAAGAGCAAATTCTAGCCACTGCTGCTGCTGTTGAAGCTGGTATTTCTGAGTCTAACTCTGAGGCCAAGGACGATGCCAGTTCTAAAGAGGACGACTTGGTGAAAACTTCGGTGAGCATAAGCTTATCCTTATCTCTGTTTTGCTTCAAATTTCTTCTAAGTATGAAACTTCAGTACATACGTTTCCGAATTTGTAAGCATGATGTTTCGGCTACGCCATGCATGTTGCATGTATTTTTCCTAATTTGAAAGAACTTTGCTAAGTATAGTATTTCGGATGCATGTTGTTTGCTGACTGCTCAGTTTGTGAGAACTTAAATAGCTATAGAACTTTGGTAGCCTTTCTCTTATGACTTACTTGATTTGCGTAATTATAGTAGTCTTCCTATCTAAGTATAAAACTTCAGCACGTACGTTTCCAAAGTTATAAGCATGTTGTTTCGGCTTTGCTATGCATGTTGCATGTATCTTTCCTAATTTGAAAGAACTTTGCTAAGTATAGTATTTTGGGTGCATGTTGTTTGCTGACTGCTCAGCCTGTGAGAACTTAAACAATTATAGAATTTTGGTAGCCTTTCTTTTATGACTTGCTTGATATGCCTTTCTCTTATGAGAACTTAAACAACTATAGAACTATAGAACTATAGAACTTTGGTAGTCTTCCTATCTATACATTGTTTTTGTTTTTTGTTTGGATTATGCGAATACGTACTTCTCCACCCTCTTATGACTTGCTTGATTTGCGTAATTTTAGTAGTCTTCGTAACTAAGTATGAAACTTCAGCACGTACGTTTCCAAATTTATAAGCATGTTGTTTCGGCTTCGCTATGCATGTAGCATGTATCTTTCCTAATTTGAAAGAACTTTGCTAAGTATAGCCTTTCGAGTGCATATTGTTTGCTGACTGCTCAGCCTATGAGAACTTAAACAACTATAGAATTTTGGTAGCCTTTTCCTTATGACTTGCTTGGTATGCCTTTCTCTTGTGAGAAGTTAAACAACTAAAGAACTTTGGTAGTCTTCCTATCTATTCATTGTTTTTTTTTTTTGGATTATGCTGATACGTACTTGTACACCCTCTGAATCTTTTTGTCGCAGAGTGAAGAAGAAAAAGTAGATGCATGACAAAAAGAGTCTTCATCGGATATCTCTTCTTCAGATAACAAAGTCGAAGAGATGGCCAAGAAAAGAAATCCCAGGGCCGATGTCAACCCAGGCCAAATTCCCTTACAAGATACTTCTCCATCGCCGAAAAGGTCTCGGCGAGACGATGGTCCAGGTGAAGTGTCCAAGGAGAAAACTCTAGATCTTTCTTTTACTCGGAACCCAGATGAAGAGGTCCAGCAGAAACCTCCTTCTCTGATGCCTCGAGACGATGGTCCAGGGAAAGTGTCCAAGGAGAAAATTCCAGAACCTTCTTCTACTTGGAATCCAGATGAACAGGTCCGCCAGAAACCTCCTTCTCCGATGCCTCATCTATCTCAATATTCGGCAACCCCTTTTGACGAAGAAATTCAAAGGCAGGTTGATGCCTTCATCACAAACATTGGGAACAACAATGTGTTGCTTCTAGAAGTGAGGCCAGAAAATTTTAAAGACGCCGATGAGCGTGTCGACAAGCCTCGAAAGGTAGATATGCCAACTTCTTCTGCTGCAAACTCATTTAAGACTTTTCGGTCTGATGAGATGGGGTTTGAGTCTGCCCCACTTGTGATTGTCCACGATGCCGTGAGGGACAATTTGATGGAAAGCCGGAATTCGGCTGTTGAGTTTTTTGGGGATTTGTCTGGACTCTCCGAGCTGGAAAAAGCCAGAATCTGGTCAACTCGAGCTACTGCTGGAGCGTTCGAAGCATTCCTAAAAGTGTCAGACCCCGTTGCTGAGAATTTTAAACTACTGATGCAGGTAATTTGCTCTGACTGCTTTTTTAATAACTTTTCCCAAGTCCATAAGTTCAGCTATCTTTATTCAGAGAACAAAAATTCCCTTTTTGTTTTTGTTTCGGCTGACTCTGGTACTCCCAATGTGTAGGCCGTTCAGAACCATGTGATTACTGCTGGTTTGAACGAAGAGCTGAAGAAAAAAGCCGAAACAACAAAGCATCGAGTCCATTTGGCTGAGCTTGAGAAAAAACGTGCTGAAGATGCGGATGAGCAGGGTGAGGAGTTAATTCGCTCTTATGGAGCTGAGGACATTCCTACCTTAAAGGTTTGAATTTAGTAGAAGTTGTAGCAAGAAGTGGTTGCCAAGAGCAACTGGCCAAGGATCTGAATGAAAAAAATTCCCTCATCAGGAAAGAAGCTGAGCAGAAACAGTCTAAACTTGAGGCTGAGATCAATCGTCTGAAGGACTTAGTCTCAGCTAAAGAACTAAATTTGACGGAAGCTCAAAGCCAACTTTCCCTCATCACGGAAAAAAATGAGCTGAAGTAGTCTGAACTTGAGGCTGAGATCAAACGTCTGAAGAACTCAGTCTCGGCTAAAGACCTGAATTTATCAGAGATTCGAAGCCAACTTCAAATTGAGAGGGATGCTGCTGCTGAGACCAGGGCTGACTTGGAAAGTGCGAGGGAGCTGCTGAAGACCCGGATTTACACCTAGGAACAATACAACGAGGGTTATGAAAACGGGTTTAAAGTTGCTCGCCGCCTTGCGATTCATGATGAACCAAATATCAACTGGGATTTGGCTGAGGAATGGTCTTTGGACCTCAACCACCCAAACATGCAGCGTCCTCATCCTAATGAGCTTGCTTTACTTGCTCGGCTAGTCGCAAAGGAAACTTTGGCATCAGATGATGATGATGAAGAAGAGAAAGCCGAGACTCAGGTTCCGGATGTTGCCAAGACTGCTATATCTTCTGTTGTTGACACAGAAAAGGTCCCTGATGCTCATGTGGCGAACACTGATGCATAGGAAATCCGGCAGTCGTCTGCAGAATCTTACGGCTCTACATGTGCTTGAATGCTGACATGTCGTTTCTGTTCTTTTGCCTTTTTTCAGCTTGCCATCTGTACAAAATACTCTTTATTAGTTTTTGTCTAGGTTTGTACTAAGTTCGGCAGCTGTGTATCCGCGTGTGGGCGGCTTCCGGTTTAGAGTTCTCTTTATTGTTTTATTCTCCAAGCTATGACTTCTTTTGACTGGAATTATCTCAAGTATACAATTCCGGTTTGGGAGTTTTTTAAAATGAATGTCGATTGTTTTTTCGTAGCTTCCCTCTATTTTCGCCTGATTGCTTTAGTTTTACTTTTTGTTTGTTTTCTTGGACTTTCTCAACATGTTGCCAAGTACATAGCTTCAGCCTAGAATTTTTCAAACTACGGATTTTCCTCATTTGTCATACAACCTTAACTTTGGTCGTACTATACTATTGAAAACATCTGCTCTGAATCTTAATTCTAGAAGTTCCATCTTTTCCCTCGCCCAATCAAGCTGGTTTGGTTTTTGTCGATTATGAATTTAGTATTAGTAATTAATTTCATTTCAAAAGTATGAAGTTATAGAATTAATAAATGTTAGGATTGATCGAGCTACTGAAAGATGTTTGCGTTTTATTATTTGGCAACAAGCACATAAAGTTATTTTATTATTTGGCAACAAGCACATAAAGTTATATTTAGTATTAGATTGCGCTTTTGTGCATAATGAGTATGAAGGAGATCATGTAGTAAATTTTAGTTAATGGGAGATCATGTAGTTAATTTTAAAAGTAATTACTGTAAATTAATTTGATTATATTATAATATTTCTGTACATAGTTAAAGCTTCAGACATGGCAGAGTTCTTCAAGCTTTGCTACGGCATTTCAACCTTGAATCGTTGCGGCTTGAACCTCGGCTAAGAGACTCGGTCTCGGCAACACATAGGATTCGGTGGCCCGGATTAGCTTTGGTTGGGACTCGGTAATTAGACGTTATGAGCTGAAACACCTTCGGCAATTCTCGGCAGAGATGTTTGAACCATCCAGAACTACTTTTTAGACGGTACTGACTACTCAGCAAATGACAAGGTTTCATCATCTAATTTTAGTTAATGGAAAAGGTAAAATGGTATCTCCAAAGTACGGGGTAGATCATATAGTAAATTTTAAAAGTAATTATTGTGAATTAATTTTATTATATTATAATATTTTTTAATACAGTTAAAGCTTTTTACTACATTATGTCAATTACGTGTTAATTTTCAAAAATATGATTCTTGTTCGTGTTGTCATAGCAGAAATTGCTTATTGTGAGATAAATTGAACCATCTGATGTAAATCAAAAAAGAAAATAGATATTAATCATATTATGTGCTAAAAATACCAATAGGGGGTTGATTTGCTTGTCATCTCCTTTCTTACGAAGGATCTGCCGAAGGTCCATTGTTTTGTAACCGAAACAGATTGTATGGTTACAAAACAATGGACCTTCGGCAGATCCTTCGTAAGAAAGGAGATGAGGCCCAATTCGAGAGGTGTCCAAATTGGGGATTTCCTGCACAGCTGAACAAACGTAAGCTGGCCTCAGGGGTTGTGCCGAGGAAGGCCCCTCCGATGTCGAATTCCGTACAGCGTATACAAGTAGAGGGAATAGTTATGCAAGAGGTTTGGTTGCTTGAGGCTATATGAGTATATATATAATGAATGAGATAAATTGAGTTTTTATACCTTTGTCCAAATGAATGGAATGGGTTTGAGGAATCAAATGGGCTAACCATTTGACTGGGCTTCGTTGACTGACCTGACATATGGGCCGGAGGGTTGAACCTTGCCATTTGGGCTTTGTTTATTTTCGTTTATGGACTGGGCCAAAATATAAGTTATTTGGACCCCAAACAACTTGCCCCCCAAACCCGATTCATGAGGATAACGGGTCAGGTTTTCTGATTTTTTGAGAAATTTGGAGGGAAGTAAATGAAAATAATTTAAATTAGGAGAAGTTAGGAGGTTATTATCACTAATAACCGTTAACTTGAGAATGATTGGAAGTTATGAAGAAGAGTAGATTAATGGGCATTAATTGGAGGAGAATACGAATAGGTACAGAGTAAAGTGGGATTAAGGGGGTAATTAGTGGCGAGGACCTCGAAAAACTTGTTTCTAGAGGACATTTAAGCCACTCATTCCTTAATTCTTGCTCAGTTAACTCAAATTCGCACAAACAAACCCGGATTTCGCTAAGCTTTCCCCTGTACTCGAAACTGTTTTGCACTTAAATCCAACAATCCGAGGCTTTTGGACAAATTCGTCGCTCCAACTGCAGAGATTGGCAAATTCCGCATTTAACCAAGGTAATTTTTTCTAGAATTCCCTCAGCTTTCTTTGATTTTAGAGCTTCCCCTTTTTTCCGTCTTTTCAAACTTCCGTTCAACTGGAAAATGGCCGGCGACCGGGGAAAAGAGCCAGACAGGCCTGAATCAAGCACCGAGGAAGAAGAGAAAGAGGTGTCGCATCTCATTCAAAGGCGTCATCGCCCCTTGGCGATGATGCCTCCTCTCAGTGGCCAAAACCCTAATGCTGGGGTCGCGCCAGCCGCCGCTTCGAGTGGCGCTGCCTTAAGTGTAGTGCCTTTGTCCAGCTTTCTACCGAGAGGTTCAGTTGAGGCCAGTACCTCTGGCCGAAGTGGGGCTTCGGCATTTAGGCCGCTGACTCCCGAAGAACGGGAGTAGACCGAAGTCAGGGAGAACGAGGGCATTATGAATGCTGCCCCCTATTCTTGGTGGATTGAGAATGATGCCCAGTACCATTTTGTCGAACAACTCGAGATACATTACGTCATTATGGAAGAAGATGGGTACTGGTGCCAATGAAAGGATTCATCGACCCCCACCTAGGTATATCGGGGTCTACAATCGGCAATTGCAGAAAACGGGCTTTGATTTCCCGTTCACTCTTTCGTCATCAAATTGATGAATGGATATAACATATCCTTGCCTAAGCTAACCCTAGTGAGTGTCCGAAGAATCATGAGCTATCTTTGGGTCTGTTTATTTTATGGGTTTGAGCCGAGCGTCCACTATTTTTGATGCATTCACAAACTTATGTCGAACGTCCAATCTAACAAGTGGCACGGCCCTGGGTGGTGGCAGATAGAGGATGAGAAGGGATTCCTCACGTCTTATCCAAATGACACTTCAGATAAAAATTGGAGAGGGCAATGGATCTGGGTCCGAGCATCCTCTGATGAAGCTTATCCGAACTATTTCAAGGCTCCCGGATATCTGAGAAAACCAGATCCTGAAATGTCAAGCATTGGCCCTGATGAATTTAATGACCTTGATCATCGCCAAATGGAGTTGTTTGGCCGAAGCAAGATGACTGTTACTGGCCGAATGGCCAATGTACCGAGTACCTGGTTTCCTTATTTCCATTACATCTTCCAGGAGAAGATGCTCGCTGTTGTCGGCCTCAGCCGAAGATACCAAGGTGGTAAGGGATTCGGCTGGGGTCGAAGTCTTTTTATGTTTTATTCTTTATTGCTCACTGTATTGCGAACTTAACTTTTTCAGCTGAACTCATCCTTGTTTTTTCTGACTTTTCGGAGATGCACGAAGGGAACTCAGGCATCAACTACGAGGTGCTTGGGATTAGTGAGGAAAGGGTCCCATTCACCAACACGTCGAAGATAACCAAGCTTAAAGATCGGCCCCTTTCCCTCCAGCCGAGAAAACTTCAAATTGTCAGCGCCTTAGAGTATCAAAGGCATAAGGCCTTGCATCAAAAGATTGACCCCTTCTTCCTTCATTCGGCTGAAGAAGTTCCTGCTGCTGAAGCTGCTTCTGCTCCTCAAACCGAAGCAGAGCCCTCAGCCTCAGTTGCTGAACCAAGAGGAGAGGGAGCCCACAAGGAAGAAGGTTCTAAAGACGAGTACTTGCTAGATACTTCGGTGAGTTCTTACTGCTTTCTCAATTTGTGAGAAATTGCTTAAGTATAAATCTTCGGCTACTTTATTTCCTTCAGCTTGAGTATGCATGTTATACATAGCTTTCATAACTTGTAAGAATTTTTCTAGGTATAGAACTTCGGATGCATGTTGCTTTTTCTACTTAAAATTTTCAACGTTGTGAAAATTCGTCTAAGTTTAGGATTTCGGCTTGAAGATTACTTCTCTTTTCTCCTTTTTTTTTGCTTATACTAATCCCTACCCCCCTTTTTACTCTTCTGCTTCAATGTGACGAAGAGGAAGTGCAAAAAGGAGATCCTGCCGAGGCATTCCCCGTTCCAGATTCTCTAGAAGAAGGAATGGCCGACAAAAGGAGAAAAAGAAGGCTTTTCAGGCCGGGAGAGTTCGTGGCTCCCCTAATTCTAGAGAAGAGGCCTCGTCTTGAAGAAGACAAGCAGGAACAGGCTAAGGAGGTCACTTCTCCGCCTCTCGAAGCTTCTGTTGAGGGAGTAATTATTCTGCAAACTCCCCCTCCCTCTCCGATCCATATGGCCGAAGCCACTTCTGAAGAGGCCCGGAGAGAGGAGGCCGAGGTAGAGAAGGAAACAGAAGAGCCTAAAAACAATGTGTCGTCTACCTCGGCTGCTGGCTCCTTTAGGACCTTTGAGTCCTTTGATATGGGTTTCGACTCCACACCCTTAGTCCCTGTTCCAGAATATGCCCGAACTCTTTTTAAGTCTAAGCGAGACTCAGTGAATGAGTACTTCGGTGATCTGGCCAATCTGTCAGCGCTGGACAGGGCTAGGGCCTGGATGGTTGGTGCGGCTTCTGGGGCGTCCGAGCCGCTTGCAAAGGTGTCGAACCCCTTTTTGGAAATTCAAAAACTGCTGATGCAGGTGAGCTTTTGGCTTTGCTATAATTTCTTTTTGCCTTTGCTATAACTTTTGATTTTTTGTTTTCCTGATTTTTACCAAAAAATGTCTAAGTATAGAACTTCGACTTGAAGATCTACACTTACAAAAAATCTACTAAGTGTTTAGTTTCGGCTAACTTTTATTTCAATTTTTGCAGGTTGTTTACAACCATTTCATTCCTTGCTGTGGAAATGAACGACAAGCTGAAGGCTAAAGCTGACAAGGCTGAAGAGGCTGAATGCCGAGCTCAGCTTGCTGAGCTGAAGCTGATGAATGCCAAAGATGAAGCCTCGGCTTTGAAGCTGGAGATGCAGAATATGAGCGACAATTTTCTCTCCTTCTGTCAAGACCTGGAGCAAACTGTTTTTCCGTGGCTAGACGAAGGCCATGCTCTAATCCATGAATATAGGGCTGAGAGTATTGTTGACTTCAAAGCCCGTATTG